GCTGGTGAGTCAGGGCTATTTTTTTTTTTAAAGGGCGGAGCTAGGGGATCCAGAGAGTGGGGGTTAGAAATCAGGGGGCTCATAGCAGAGCCCCCCATAGAGCACAGGGCAGTGGGGGCAGCAAGGATCACTGCCCCCCACCCAGCACTACCTGGTGAGTCGGAGCTTTTTTTTCCAAAGTGCCAGGAGCTGGGGCGGGTAGGGCAGCCATTGCCGGGGCTGAGAGAGCGAGTGAGGAATGAATGGGCCTGGGCAATTTGGAGATTCAGTAGCAGCTGAATCTCCGAATCAGATTTGGCCGAATTGATTCGGGACAGCGATTCGAATCACCGAATTGAATCACTGTCCCCTGAATCGGCCAAATCCGAAGCAAATATTAGCCGCATCGCACAGGCCTAGGTGGAAGGCGACTTGCTGGGAGGTCTGAATTGCAGAATAAGCTGCCCAAAGCAGAGCTCTGAGCAGCATTTGGCTGCGGGCTAGAGTCTATAACACAACGTTTCCGTCTGGCCTTCTCCGGAAGGGCGTAGTGGAGAAGGAGATACTTCTGCAGACTATTTCTTCTACTAGGGTAAGTAGCAAGAATACTAAGTTGATCAGTGGTTCGAAAGAGCTCACCTGATATGGGTAGCTGACCCACACTTGCCAGATGTCATAAAACCAAGGTTTCTGGGAAAAAAAGACAGAACCAGAGAAAAAATGAACAACTGAGCACTAGTTCGTCTCCTCAGCTTAAAAGCCCCTATATTGTAAAAAATGACGCTACAGGGTGAAACAGGTTTTTCGACTGCAGTCTTACACTACATTTCTTCCATATCAACCCTCCCCCTAAAGCAATTCTCTGTTTCAGGTTTAATGAGCTACTCATGGTGTGTTGGCAACGTCTTGGGACACCTCAACGTTTCACTTTTCCACATCAAAGTTTTTGGGTGTAGTCTTTCTATCACCGCAGTTGCTCAAAGTGCACTGCTGTGATGATTCAAACATTTTTTGTACCTGGTAAACATTTTCAGTCTCAGGGTTCAGCCTGATGAAAGGTGCCAGTAGCATTCATTCTGAGCAAGAGAACAGATTTGACTGCATCCATGTTCGTTAATCTTTCCTCTTCATTCTGAGCACCAACTGGGTGTTTCAGTAGTTACAAGGGAAAAATCCTTCACTCCACAGAATATCCCAGGATGTTGGGATGTTGGAAGCTGGAAGTAACCAGGCCAATCACACTAAAACAGTGAACTGCTTTAGGCTCATCTTGCAGTCACACAAATTTTGCTATAAAGCCTCCAGATTTTTTATTAGGAAAAACAAACAGTCTCACATGATGTATTCCTTATGGGTACAAATTAGAAAAGCAGATTGTAATTGGGTAACATTTTAATAATTTTCATAATGTGGATGTTACCTGACAAACAAGTTCTGAAAAACTTTGTATCTTTACGGGGGTTTAGGTTGCAGCCGTGTTGGTCTAAGGACATAGGCAGACAAGGTTCCTTGGGTGAATTTGATATCTTGTATTGTGTATATATCTTTACGTGTATTCAGCATTTCCAACAGTGTATTGAGAAAGAAAAAATCTCAAATTTAAATTTAAAACAAAATCTGGGTGAGCACAGTAAACTGTCATTTAGATTACAACACTGTAAATTATCATTGTGGTCTGTATCCAAGATTAGCTGAAGTCAATAAGAGTCTTCCCACAGACTTTAAAAGCTTTTGAAAAAGGCCTTTATTTTGTATGTAAGCATACAAAACAATTAAAAAAAAACAAAAAACAAAAAAAAAGGCATTAGAACAGAAAATATCCCCCAAATAAATAAATTAAACTTACATCATATAGAAATATAGCTCCAGCAATGGACGATGAAATATGAAATGTAAATCGCCAGCTACAAAATTGAAATGAAATGACACAAGAACAAGCAGTTATTCTGCATTTGCAATTGTCATCATTAAATACAATTGTGGCAGCGAATACAGCCTGCACATAAATATACAAAGTTATTTTTATCCGTTACTCTGTGGGCATCTATTAGTTACTGTCTGCATATTTCTAATAATCATTTAATATGCAAATGGTGATATTTAAGTAGAGGACGAGTCATTAACCAAAGCACAGGGCTTTACATAATCACTAAATAATTATAGGATAGACACATTTCTCAATTGTGATTATCTACAGCATTCTCTCTCATCTGACTGGCTTACTCCAGGATAATGTTGGTAAAATGAATATACGTAGTAAATAGCCATTCAGTGCCCAATTTACACATGCACACTATAGGCTGGTAGGATCACCTATTAATAAAGCTGCCCAACACGTTCCATTGCATAGATTATTTTACACTGTGAATCTGAAGCTCTGGCCAGGTTTGCCAGTATTTGGCTGAGATGTGCGGTCAGGTCTGGTGGCAGTTGTGTGGTACTTACTAGTGGCTGCAAAACAAAAGTTCACCAAAATTTAGGGAGGAGACAGTGGTTTTGGTTCACTGATCTAAAATTTCAAAACAAAGCTTATTATACGGATGGAAAAAAATTAAACGGTGCCCACAGACAAACAGCACCCAACCTTTCTGCTCTCCCACACCCCAGGCCAGATGGGCAGTGCCAGGTCCATCTGCATGCTGGATCTGGACAGCGGTCCTGATCTGGTGTGTAAAGTGAGTGTAGCTAGGGATTGTTCCGGCCACGTGGGGCCTGGAAATTTGGCAGCAGTGGGGAGGGTAGCAACTGCTCCCCCTTGCCATCAAGTTTCCCGACCCGTGGCCAGATGCAATGGCTTCATGGGTTAGATTTGGCCTGTGGGCCCGGGGTTAAGAACCTCTCCCATAAACCACCGTGAACTGAAGCCACGTGGCTGCTTAGCAATCAATATGGAGACATGAAATGCAGCCAGCCCAGTAGTGTTGTAACATCTCACGAGCCCGTGTGGGAGGTAGCATCTTGGGACTGGGTGGGGCACAAGACTGCATTGAAATGCTGCTTCTCCCATTTCACAAGATGCTGGAAACACTGCACATACTCCTAGACCTTTTTCTACAGGCCCTGGCCCAATCCAGCACTCGCCTCTTCCTAGAACAATTCTTGCTGGCAACCAGAAAACATTTGATTTTCAGATGTCAAGATGTTCCTTGGTAATAGAAATAGGCACCCGAAGTCTGCTGAGAACCATTTATGTTTACAAGGTGTTATGTGAGGAGGCTTGGAAAGAGAGCTGGAGAATAATCAGAAAGTAAATGCTGACTTGCTGAGAAAGATGAGAATCCTGAAAGCTGCCTTTACTAGAGCTGGTATGTAGAGAACCGTGGTCTTTGTTAACACCAATTCACACGAATTAATACCCGAGATGATGACCACGGTAACTTGTCTTGACAAAGGAAACTCCACCGCACTGCATTGTTCTGCTCCATCTCAAGGCCACCGGAAAATAGAAGGTGTTCAAGCCTTACCCAGCATTTTAAAATGGGGGAAAAAAAAAAAAAAAAAAATGAGGAGGAGAGAAGAGGAGAAGCTAAATGGACTAATCTGAATAATCTGAGAATCTGAAAAAGGAATGAAAGAAGTGCTGGGGACACCCCAGTAGCAATAGGCAATCAGAGTTCTTCCTACCACCATAGCATCTTTCAGCAAATGATACAAGTGCTCGTTAACACGAACAAACAAAGCTTTGCAGCACTTTGTGATGCAGTTGCTACTGTCACCAACCAACTGGAACAATCTCAGCAACAAAAAAGAATCAGGGGTCTAGGAAATGTGATTTATGAGGAAAAAAACTGAAAGAACTGAGATTATTTAGTCTGGAGACAAGACGGAGAAGGGATTTGATAACAGTCTTCAAGTACATAAAGGGTGGTTATAAGGAGGTGGCAATAAATTACTTTTCTGTGGCCACGCGGGATAAGAAATAGCAGTCCTGAATTGCAACAAGGGAGATTTATTGAGAAAGATCTTCCTTATATCCAATCTATGAGTGTGGTTATGCTCTGAAACAGCTTAGAGAGACTGTGGGATCTCCGCCCTCGGAAGTTAAGAGCAGATTAGACAAATACTTGGACGGAATGGTTTAGACGGGGACAAACCCACCTGCAGCAGGGGCCTGGATTAGATAGCCTCTTGAAGGGCCTTCCAGCCCTATTTCCACTGCAGACAGGTAACATTTAAGCAGCACTGAAACAAACTGAATGATTTAGAGTGAGGACTAGAACTCAACAGCATGTGTAGACGAAACAAGGGGCATGTGTGCACGACACTTTAAAGTGGGCTAAATGCTTTGGCACCGCTTTAATGGTGCCAGTGTTTGCATGCCTTGGCGGCATATTGCGCATTAATTCCAGCTGCTGTAGGAAATTCAGTGGCATCGTGTGCCTTAAAACGACTTGGGGCACAGCAAACTAAAACTCCTCGAAGGAGTTTTAGTTTGCTGCCCCTACAGCTGTGGATAGAAGCACCGGGCTGCGTGCAGCTCCGTGGCTCTGCAGGAAGCCCACGCAGGCAGCCTGGTAGCAGCCTGGGATAGCAGCTCCGCCCAAGAAAAGCGGCGAGTCTGATCTTCCCCCTGTGTCCTGGAGCCTGCCTGCGTGCCCGAGCTGTGTGGGGGCCCGGTGCTTCCCTCCACAGTTGCGGTGCCGCCCAGGACTTCCCAAGCCAGATGCCTGTGGGCGAGTGCTGCCAGGGAGTAGGCACTGCTGCTGCTGCAGCAGAGGGAAGCACCAGCCCCCGCAGCCCAGGGACCGCTCCACCCACTGGCAGCTTGCCCTCCCCTCCCCACCAGAGAGGCAGGTAAATCAGCGGGGTGTGTGCTCAACATGGGGGGTTTAAATCAGCCCTAAATTGAAGCGGTGGTTTTTTAAAACCCACCACTTCAATTTAGGGCCCGTTTCATCTACACTTGCCCCAAGACGGACTCCCCAGGCATTAATCATTAGACACGAGGGAAACCACGACTGCACTGGATGATCAGGCTCTAGGACCTGACGCTATGCTGGTGGTGTACTCTGGTAAAACTCAGTGGCATTGCCCTGGCTTTACACCTATACAAGCGAGAGGAGAATAAGGACCGTTATGTTTTCAGTGGCCTCCTCAAACATGTGGTAAGATCACAGCTGTGCAACTAGGCATGGTCAGTTTGGCAAAGAGTTCACATGTATTTCCTCTCCTGTCCCACCCCATTTTCATACCACCTCCTCGGGCTTGGTCCTGCAAGGTGTTGAGGGCCTGGTACTTGACCTCGTGAAGCACATAGTCATGTGGAGTAGGCCTACTGGAGTTACACCTAGGCTTTCAGTTAAGCATGTGCTTAAGTGCTTTCTGGTATCAGGACCAGAACATACAGCACCTTGCAAGATCAAACCAAGAAATTACATTTATGCATGTATTGGCTTCAAACAGGAGTGTGTGCGTGCACCGCTGAAGAATCAAGGCTTTAGTTTGCAGTCCACTGAGTTTCACTGTGAATCTGGATTTTGAACAACCCCGAAAAACGCAACTCGTCCAAACTCAAACTCTGCTTGAGTCACATTTCAATCTGCTTTGAACCCAGCAACCTGAGAGAGGGGCCAGCCACAGCTTCAGGAACCTGCTCCATGCAACTGATGCTAACAATAGAGGACAGCAGCTTTCCCACACAACTTAGCAAATGGATTTTAATCAGACCAGGAAGTTTTGTGCAAAGGATTTTTAAGACTCTAATGTTGCCTAACTGGGAGCATTAATTCCTTATGTATGGTTTAGACTTGGCTCAGCCAAATTTCCCCATAAATATGCTGATGGAGATTTCAGACTTTTAAAACATGTTGATGCTTGGAACCTCGCCTATAAAAAGGGCACAATGATGTTCCCAATTTGCTGCCTTGGGAACATGATTCAATTAAAGTTTGTTGGCAAGCAGCACCACAAAAGGCAAGTAGCTGCAGAGGACACAAATCTAACATTGCTCACCTCCAGCACCGTCAGCAAAGCTGTCAGACGAGTTTTAAGTCTAGAATCTCCCTGCTGCTTAAGGAAAAGCACCATTCGAAAGCCTAATTTTACAAGCAAGGTCAAGACATCTGATACCAAAACCCATGTCAGAGCCTTAAATGTACATGACAGGTTTGCCAAAGCATTTTGCTCCTCACAGTTATACTTGTGAAGTATTTAATTTGTATTTTAACCAGTAGAGGCCAGCTATGCCTCTCCTGCTGGATGCATGCCCATGGAATCAAGCACATCAGCAGCCGGGTTTTGGCCTCATATTTATATGCACTGGAAATACATTACGATAGAATAATTTGTATGGGCTCCTGTCCTGTAGCTGTGTTTTAAACTATGTTATTACCATGCTTTTAATAAGAGATAAATAACCTTTCCAAAGCTTCATATTCACATCCAAGTCCTTCATCAACAGTGATGAGTCTGCTGAGAAAGCAGTCCATCAATAGCATCATATTGTTCTCTTGCGTCTCCCCCCTCCTCCCTATCTGTCACTTTAGACCTACTTACATTCTTGTTTTCTATTTAAATTGCCTTGCCTCTTGCAGACAGAAACTAATCGTCTTGTTCTGTGTCTGTACAATGCCCAGCACAATGGGATCCTGCTCCATGGCAAGAAATTCTAGATGTTATAATATTACAAAAATGTATAAGTCAATTATTGTTTCCGCTGCTTGCTTACATGACTCCTAAACCCAGAAAGGGTTTTTAAGATGGCAGAACAAATATACACAGGAACAAGTAATAATAAAGGCATTTGCTTTCTGAACACATCTTTGTAAACAAAAATATTAGATCATCCCATCTGGAAACAAATGAACAGAAGACCTCCACTTGCTCACAAACCACAAAAAAGTATTAGGAAAGCAACCCTTTTGTTTATTTTGTATTACATATTATGTAGTGATATTTTATTTATAAAACACTTCAGTAAAGATTTAGTAACAAGACTGCTTTCCATTTAGTTGACCAATTTTAAATGAATTAAAAATAGGCAGGATTATTATACCTGAATTCATGACTATCCTTCTCAGAGTTTGAGTGCTTGAATGTAAATATATGCATATATTGGTCATGCAAGTATATATTAAAGGCATGTCAGTTGGATGATTTAACTACATGGGAAGAAGCCAAAACAATGTGACTTGTAACTACAAGTGTAAAAAGTTTCATCCCATGCACTGCAGAACACGGGAACTGCAGCGCTTTAAGTCATTTCTCAAACATATCAAATGCTCCATATTCTACCATGCCATCAGCTGCTGATGTGCTAAAACAACACTAAATCCACCATGTCATCCCAGTGAATCTAGTGATGCCTAACCAGGAAGTTTTGGGACTTTATATAAACACACAATGCTAATTATGATGTTGCTGTAAATTGTTCACTAAACTGCCACACCAGCAAAATATGCCAAATTAGACACCCCTGAACAATCCTGGGGTGATGCAAAATAAAAGGCATGGTGATTTCTTATGTTCTGTCAACAAACGGGCATGTGACCTGAAGTCACCTTGCATCTCCATTTGTAAAAGATGGAGAATAATATTGGTTTTCCTTTTCTTTTTTAAGAATACGTTGAGTTCGAGATACGAAAACTATTGTAGCGCTTGCCAAAGATCTCCACAAACTGCTCAGATCATGTTTTGGAAACAGATATGGGATTTAAGGTGGTCTATTTGTCCCAGCCTAAAGAAGGCAAGAAGCACTAAGCACCTGCCTTTTGAAAAAATGGATCCCTTTAAGGAGAGTTTCAAGTTGGGCTCAGAAGCGTCAGTCACTTTTGAAATATGTGGCCCCACAAGAACCAAAAGTTTTCCCTTCTTACCAGGACTCCTTAAATTTTTGCACCATCGTTGGGATCTCAAGATTTCGCCGCCTCTTGAACCACTTTTGTACCAGGTGATCTGTCCAATCACACTTTTTGGCCAGGCGCAGCATCTCTGACTACAAGAGGAGAGAAGCGAGTCAGCAATCAGGAGCAACGTGAACATCAGATACCAGCTCTTTGACTTAGTGTGTTACAGAACAACTTCCTGAAATAAGCTCTGTGTTGGCAAGAAAAAAAATAAAGCAATCTGTCTACAGGCACCAACTTGTATGCTTCATTCTCGAAGAAAACATTCATCATTCACAGAGGCCGCCCCTCATTTATTCAACATAAAAAAGAATGCAAGGGTTTCCCATCAAGGATTTGCTGTACAATTTTATGCTGCAAATATGTTGATGTAAAATGACGCAAGGGTGAAATTGTGCTATTATCTTTGGGGTGGTTTTTGAAGACTCTTGACATTATCATTCATTTTTCAACTCTGCAGCATTTACTGCTGACAAGAAAGAGATGAGTTGCTGTGGCACCATGCAAAACACTCCCTGGCATTCTGGGAGACACAGAGGGGATGTCCACACAGTAGCCCCACTCACCCACCCTTGTTCTCATGCACCAAACCCAGAAGTGTGACATGCAACAGAAAAGCAATAAAGAGTAGGTAGGCAGAGCATACTTGAGAGCTGCCCATGCCACTAGGACCAGGGGTGTAATGGAGATATACCCAAAGCAGCTTTAGCCAACAAGAGTTTATTATACCCTTGTATAAAGTGAGGGGAGCCAGCCTTGTGGTTAAAGCTTTGGCATGGAAATCAGGAGACCCAAGAGCTGCACCAAATTGTGGCGTGATAAGGAGCATCCCACTTGATATCTCCATCTGTACATGGAAGGAAAAGCAACAGAGAAATAAGGACACTTGCAGAAAAGAGAAATCTGTACAGATGAATATGCCTATCTTTACTGATAGCAGGCCAAAGATAAAATGAGCTTGTAGCAGAATCAGGAATAGAAAGAAAAAGAAAAAAAAAAAATCAGGCACCCCAATTAACAGTCTTTGGCTCCAACTCAGGGCCAGTTTTGGGGGTGAACCATCAGGACAAGTGCTCTGGGCCCCAGGAGCTTCAGTTAATGCAAGTCCCACATGTGGGTAGGAGGAGAGAGTAGCCCACAGTGTATCCTTGGTTTGGGAGACTCAGAACTTTATTGAACTTAACTTTAAACTAGGAGATGCATCTTCCTTTTAGGCAACAACCCAGTGAATGTGGAGCTGTTTACCATTAGCAGTGAGGAGAGCAAGCATTTCCCTCACTGCAGACCATCTCCCCCACCATTAGAAAGATTCATTTTCTGAGTTTGCAAATCTTGGCTTATTTTCTCTTGTTCCTGTTCAAAAGCCAACAACAGATTTTTTTTTTTGGGTCCCCTGCACAGCCCATTATTACATACGTAATAATATAAATCAACTGAAAGGTTTCCAGCTTAATGTTTTTTATATTATTCCTTTAAAACACAATATAAGATTTCTTTTAACCAACAGATGTCCATTGCTGTTTTCTCCAACTAGAGTGTCTTAAAGATTGAGCACTGATATTCACTGGAAAGAACACCGGCAACCTGACCTAGAAATGTCATGCCAAGAAATTAAATATATATTATGAATATCATATACCCTGTCAGCCTGGTAGCAAAATAACTCAAAGTGGATTCAATCATTTGTCCATCTCCTGGAACCCATGCCATGTCACCATCGTGGAGAGCTGATTGAAACACTGAGTTGGGACTTTACAAATCCCCCAAACCGCAGTAAAAAGAAATGGGATCCTTACTTGGGATGGATGTCTTGTGCAGCTTTGGAAATAAGCCTCTAAAACAGAGTTGGGCTGAAGCTTCACCCGTCTTACACTCTTTACATCTAAAACTTTGGCTAGTGGCAGGGCAACGTATCTGAAAAGACAGCAGAAAAAAAAACCCACACGGTGATGACACACAGTCAACTTGTCCTCGGGGATGCTGGGGAGTCCATCAGCAACATTTTGATCTGTCGCGGGAAATATGAAATACTTGTGTGCCATTTTCAGGAGAGCTGCCTTAGTTGCAAATAATGGCCACCCAACCCAGGAAGGAATAGTCGGCATGTTGTTGCTTGCACAAAAGCTAAATATACGGTTTTGTCATTAAAACATACACCAGAAATGCTGGATTTTGCAAAGGAATGTTCTGAACTTTTCTACCCTGTCATATTTCAGAGGCAGGTTGGGCCGGGCATGGCATGGGGAGAGGGAATAGTTGTGGGACATGAATACAGAAGAGCCCTCACCACACCAGCTCAAAAGTGCAGGGGAGTAATTGGGAGGCATTGCTTATCTAGGCCAGGAACAGGAAGGGGAACATCAATACTCTCCCATAACCACCTCGGAGTGACAGCCAACGAAGAACCCTGCATGCAAGGAAGTTCCCCAGCAGCCACTGAGTTGATGGGAAAATGGCATAGCACCTTCTACAAATGGGGGTGGCAGATGGGGCTATCTGCTTGCAGCTATGGCATATGCTGCCGGCACTCAGCTAAGTTACTTCAATTATTATCGTGCATCTCAAGCAGGTCCAAGGAGGTGATCCTCCCCCTCTACGCGACACTGGTCAGGCTGCAGCTGGAGTACTCTGCCCAGTTCTGGGCACCCCACTTCAAGAGGGATGTGGACAACATTGAGAGGGTCCAGAGGAGGCCACCTGCATGATCTGGGGACTGCAGGGCAGACCCTACAATGAGAGGCTACAGGACCTGAACCTGTTCAGCCTTCACAAGAGAAGGCTGAGGGGGGACCTGGTGACCATCTATAAACTCACTAGGGGGGACCAGAAGGGTTTGGGGGAGACCTTGTTTCCCCTAGCGCCCCCCGGGATAACAAGGAATAACGGCCACAAGTAGTTGGAGAGTAGGTTTAGATTAGACATCCGTAGGAACTACTTCACAGTTAGGGCGGCTAGGATCTGGAACCAACTTCCAAGGGAAGTGGTGCTGGCTCCTACCCTGGGGGTCTTCAAGAAGCGGCTCGATGCCTACCTGGCTAGGGTCAACTGAGCCCAGTTTTCTTCCTGCCCAGGCAGGGGGTCGGACCTGAAGATCTGCAAGGTCCCTTCCGACCCGACTTCTATGATTCTATTTTGAAAGGAGATGCCTCATACCTACTCAGGTGCCTTGCATGTCATCATAAAAAGGGCTTATTTAGAAAAAAGTGTCCAGTCCTTTCTATTGAAACTCAGATGCATGACAGGACAGCTGTATGGCTAATTAAGCACGTGTGCCATTTCAGAACAGCACTGCAGCGAGGCACAGTTGGGCAAGGGTTTGCCCAGGAAAACAGGAGATGCAGTGAGTGGTTATAAACATCAGATCCCAATTATTTTTGATTTGGAACAAGAACGACCTTATCTGGGACTTTAACTTTGTCCAGCTTACAGCATGCCCAATATCCCCCCTTCTGCCCTGAAATAAATTATCAAAACATACTATGAATATATTTTTAAAGAAACTAAAAAAAGTCAAGCAAAAATAAATAACATATATAACAACACTGAAATGCCTACAATGTCTCCTAGACAGAGCCAAATGCAATCTGGCCTGTAGGACACCAGCTGCAGCAACAATTTCAGCCTTCAGAGCCAGATTTAAGAAAACAGCATCATAACAAGATCTGTGCAAAATGTTCGCGTGGTGTTTTGAGATGCCTCCAGTAGCCCCAGGTTCTCTAATGTTTTGCACACATGGGATACATCAACCTCACACAAATGACATGAAGGCTCAGGGAGATGTCCCTGAGGGAAGGGAGCGTTGGGTTGAGAAGGCAAACTTCTCTGCTAGTCCACTAGAAACATGAAAAGCACTGGAATGTTTTTTGGGCATGTTGTGTTCAAGGTGAGAGGAAGCTGCAAGTTTTAGGAAACCATCAAACACCAAAAATGACAGGAACCAAGGGCAGTAGGACCCAGGGGAAGCACGGCAGGCTCCCACAACAGCAGGGCCTGCCCAGCCCCGCCCCCCGGGCCTGGGACCATGTGGCTGCCCCAGCGGCACCGGAACCACAGGTAAGGGAGAGGGGGGAAAAAGGGAAGGGAAGGAGCCTGGGGAAAAGCAGCCCAGGGAAAAGCTGAGCATGGGGGATGGAAAAAAGTGGCCCCTTGCCTGCCCCGTGGCTGGTGCCCCATGCAGCAACCACTTGCAGCCCGTCTGGAGCTGCCTGTACCTGCTCTGGATAGCCCCGCGTGGGCTGCGAGCAGCTGCAGCAGGGAGTGCCGGCCACAGGACAGTTTTCCCCCCTCCCCTGTGCTCAGCTTTTCCCCATGCTCCTTCCTGATGTGGAGGAAAGCAGCCCCTCCCCTGCCCTGTGGCCAGCGCCCACTGCTGCAGCCGCCCCCCGCCCCCCCCCGGGGGTCCTGGGCAGGGC